ATCCCCTGGCCCCCTCCAGCTGCTGCTCCCGGCAGGTACCTCAAGTTCAACGAGCAGTATGTGCCCCATGATCCCATCATGTCTGGCTGCCTGCCCAGCAACCCCTGGATCACGGACGACACCACATACTGGGCCATGAACGCCCCCACGTAAGTACCAGGTGGAGGCTGACAGCCCCTGGCCCCCAGAGCCCCAACCCTCAGGATGGGCTGCAGGGTCACACAGGCAGCCGTGGGCTGTCAGCCCCAACGCTGGTGTCACCTGCAGGGTGACAACCCCCACGAAGCTGCGCGTGGAGCGCTGGGGCTTCAACTTCAGTGAGCTCATCAACGACCCCCTGGGCCGGGCACAGCTCCTGGAATTCCTCAAGAAAGAGTTCAGTGGTGAGCAGTCCCAGCCCTGCATCTTCAAACTCACCACTATATCCTGTCACCCCCAGACACACCACCATGTCCCAGTACCACATAACCCACTGTCCCATGCCAATGCCACCAAACCAACCCATTGCCCTGTCCTGGCATCCCCCATTGCACCTCCCCATCCCAGCACCCCTGGTCCCACTGCCCCACACCACCCTGCTAGCTCCATCCCAGAGGGGCTGCAGGGCCACGTGTCCAGCCATAATGGCCTTTGGGGGTTGCCCATGGGGGTTCCCAGTGCTGTGTCCCACCCCCAGTGCCATGTCCCTCTCTCCAGCTGAGAACCTGAGCTTCTGGGAGGCGTGTGAGGAGCTGCGCTACGGGGAGCAGTCCCGCATCAGCGAGATTGTGGACTCCATCTATCAGTGAGTGTCAGCGGGGTGAGGATTTGGTGGGCAAGGTTTGGAGGGGTCAGACCATCACAGTGTTCAGTCCCACTGCAGGGCCAGGCTCACCACTGTCTGTGACTCCCCAGGCAGTTCCTGGCCCCTGGGGCCACGCGCTGGGTGAACATTGACAGTAAGACGATGGAGAGGACACTGGAGGGCATCAAGACTCCTCACCGCTACGTGATGGATGATGCCCAGATGCACATCTACATGCTGATGAAGAAGGTGGGTGAGGGTCGGGCTGGGGTGGGCAGGGCTGGGGAGGATTCTGACACCTCTGCTCGCCCAGGACTCCTACCCACGGTTCCTCAAGTCAGACCTCTACAAGAACCTCCTGGCCGAGGCCGTCATCCCCCCGGAGACCAAGAAGCGGTGAGGGCAGAGGTGATCCCCCTGGGGCACTGGGTGGTCCTCACTGGTCCTGACTCCACTCTGCCCACAGGGTCTTCCCCTTCATGCGCAAACAGAGGCACTCCAGCCCCAGCCCAGCCCTGCTCCTGCCCACGGGCGATGCCGAGGAGAGGAACAGAAGCCCTTCAACAGCCCCTGTCCCCGAGGAGGAGAGCTGAGAGCCTCGGGCCCCCACCACCAAGGAAGCCCCCTGACCCAGCAC